TTCAAAGTCCTTTTTTAAAAAAAAACAAACAACTGAGCTGTGAAGCATAGGAACAAACTTGACTTTTCACAATCTTTGATATAAATGATTAGAAATCATGCTACAACCAGCAGGTATTACACTCTCCAACTTTTCTGATATTAGACTGAATGAAATTTAAACTTAATTTTAACCTGTAAACAATATAAACATCAACAGTCTGGTCACTGTAAAAAAAAAACCAATGCAAGTCATTATGTATTTCAGGTCCACAATGGGAAATGCCATAATTTGCCTAGTACAACTAACTGAAAAAAGATACCCCTCTCATCACTTGGTTGCTCAAATAAATTCTACAAGAGTTCCAAAGTGCAGAAATTTTTTCAATCCAAATGTTGTTCAGATTCTCACGATTTTATTATTTGATGCATAACTGCAGTTTCCCAAGACCAGTTTCAGTGTTAGCTTGTGATAAGGCTGTTTTAAACCTTCCTTTTCCAACTTCAAACACCCTTTATAAGTTAAGTCAATACAAATATAAAAAGGAGATGGTACTCTAATGACATCCACAAATTGTACATTATTTACAAAAGAAGCATAGATTGAATATGGATCTTACCTGTCCTCAGCTTTTCTAAGCCAGCGCTAATGCTTTACATTAATGTAGTGTAGTTAATGCTTTGTACACATATACAAAGCTAAAGTCTGAACCTTTGAGGTTAATGCAAAGAACTGTGTTTATTTTTCACATTTCTATTAGATATATTTATTCCAACAATTGTATGGGCTTCTTGTTAGCAGTTAGACTCTTCGTACTTGGACTGGCATTGTGGTCTGAACATACTGAACTCCAGTTCTCATTGCCACTGTCCCAGCAGAAGGACTTACCACTACAGGAATGGTCTGTGGATTAAAACCAAGAGAAACATATTGTTATGTTAAAGGTCACATAAACATGACCACAGAAATAGAGGTTTGTTTTCCAGGGAAAATCCAGAACAAGTTCAGATTTTGTGCAAGAATTAATACCTTTATTACTGCAGTATTACCTCATTCCAGGGTAGGAAGTAGTGCATTACTTTCCTATAGCCAGGAGGGCTTTTAAGTTACTATTACTGCCATTTAATTACAGGGACAGGTGGTCCCTGCAGGTACTGTGCACACTCTGCCTGTGCTTGGAGAATTAGGTTTTCATAGTTACTACTTCCAGTTACGTATTCTTCCCAAACTAATGCATGGGAAGAGGAAAAAGGGCTAAGAAAATTCTCTGTCATTTGAAAAAAATTGACAAATCGAACTGGAGTACAAAAATACCCTTGTTTTTAAGTATATTCTTGTTACACATTGCTTAAATCTTTTTACCAAAAAAGAACTCCCCCATGCATTCAGTCTACACAGAAGAGAACAAAGAAAGAACATCCATTTCAACAAAAAAGTACTTAAGTTAGCTTTTGCACAAATCAATAAAAACATCAGCGTTACTGGGAACTGTCTTATACACCCTGCAAAAATACTAATATAGAATAAACTTTTCACTTCCATCATACAGATCATGATTTATAAATCTTGACAAATGAGTTTCAGGATATCTCTATAGGTGGTAATAGATTCTACAGATGCAGAGACAAAGGCACAAGAACGTTAAGCAATCTGGTCAAGGTCACATCACTCTGGAAGATCTGGAAAAGGATTTATTGAATCTTAAGTCTGTATCTTAACCTTCCTCAAAAAATGTGAGGAAGTCTAGCAGTGTCTACACCATACAAACTGCAAGTGTGTTTTCATACAGTTCCAGTGGTGCACAACTGGTGATCAAACAAACACATCCATTTCAGTTCTCAGTATTTTGTGGAAGAAACTGGAAGAGATTTTGAGGAAGCTGAAAGGGATGCACAGATCTTCCCCCTGATGGTGGTGTGACATTCCAAAGAGAACACGGAAGAAGAGATACAGGTTCGCTGAAGCCCAATGTTGCCCCACACTGTTTTAGGAAACCACATGAGTCTCTTAATGGTATTCAATAAAGATGGTGAGTATCCCTATGGAGATGGATTGCAGCCTAGAGTGTTATCAGCTCCTTTGTGACAAAGTCTGTGCCTTCCAGAAGCCTACTCATTCCATTCCCTGGAATGGAAAGACGATGAATTAATATTTTCACATTATTTTAACTGCAGAAAGAAAAAACAAAAGCAAAACAAACAAACATGGAACCAATTTGCTAAATAAATTCAATTACTGTCATTTTATAATGATTTCAGATGTGCATGATGTTCAAAGAAAATGGTACCCAGAAAACCCACAGTAAGTTGTTCAGAGGAAGAAATCCCTAGTTGGAAACAAAGTGCAAATTTAACCCAAGGAAGCCATGATGTAAGTCACTGTTACTACTACAGGTGGGAAAATTCAGGTTAACAGAGTCACCTTTTAAATATACACACTTACACAAACCAAAAAAACTAAGTTTCAGTTCTTCTAGTGATCAGGATATGGAATGTGTGAGAGACTCCTTACATGAGTTAAGATCATTCCCTGAGAGGTAAATTTTCCACCTCTGCCAGTTTTACACATATGTACATTTTGCATACATTTAAACATGCACTAAGGTTTAAAAGTATTGAAATTGCACGTGCAGTTATTTGAATACAGAGGTGTCTGTAGCTGTGCAAGACTAATGCAAATGTGTACAAAATTTTAAACATGCACAAATAAAGGCTGAAACCTTCCAGACATTCCAATTATGCTTTACAGAACTCAAACACTTTGTATTACAGAAAACCGAGGGTAACTTTTTTCTGCATATTACACAAAAGCACCTTAAGATCTTACAGCCTCTCAGCTATTCACATAAGAGCCTAATGTCTTTGATGTCTGCTATTTGATTTTTAAAACACATATTAAACCTTGTTGTTGTGGTAATTCAGTCCAAGCAACTCAGGAGCCAATGCTGCAAAGGTGCACAGTGCTCTCAGCTGAGACAAAAGGAGTTGCATTAAAATGCTGCTAGGAATGTGGAAGTCATGATCCCCACTAAGAGCAGGAACATTAGTGTGGAATACAGTGTCTATGGAATACTGTATGTGCATGTATTCCCAGACATACAGGCACATCCTGCAGCTGGAGGTGGGGGGTGTGTGCATGTGGGTGTGTGTACCCGAGGAGAAAGACAGGCCCCACAGTCACAGTGTGATTAAGGTACACTGTCAAATTAGAACAGTTACTGTTAGAAATTATCTGGCTTCAGTCAGAAAAAGAACCAGTTATCCACACACTCTGTTGAACCCCCCACAGTGAGGCAGAGGTGTCAGTCAGTGACCAGGGCAGTGTTGGCATCTTTCCTTCTGGCAAGAGAAATGTCAGCTGAGATGCCATGCAGACCCTGAAGGGAGCACTGCAGACCACAGCCGGTTGAAAGAATGGGATATAATGGTGCATAAAATACAAAAATCAAACTCAGTTCTGGCCCATATCTTGTGACTGACACCGGGGAATTCAAGTGTCCTTGGTTAAGTCTTTGATGGAAAAAAACAGGTCTGATTCCAATGCTATTTGTTATAATTTCATAATGCTAATGTGCAAGACTGTGTGGGAGACATACTACTGATGAATGCATATTTTCTTTCATAATTACTGAGATGTCACAGGAATATCAAGCATAGCTCAGAATTAATTAAATCTCTTTAGGATACCATAGACAAAAAGATATTTAAAAGATATTTAAAATGAATTCTATATATTTACATTAATGTTGCGGTCAAGTATATACAGGAAACGGACAAATAATTAACATAACCATGTAAAATGGAAATCTGGCTGTCCTCAGTGCCTTTGCTAGACTTAATGACAATTCTAAATCCTTGTAATAATTAACGATGACACGAAAGGATGGAATGTTGCATAGCAAAATATGACATTTTGCACTGCAAGTTGAGACTGTACCAGTGAATTCATATCTTGATAGAACAGCAGATGGAGACAACCCCCCAGAAATACTGAGCAGTTTTAATGCCAGGAGCAGTACTACTGCAGACTGATTTTGTACTTACAATTGTAGGTTGAGTAGTTGGAATATAGGAGGTGGTCTGCGGTACCTGGACCAGTTTTATAGGCTGGTTGCTTGTCACACCTGTTGCTATCTGCAGAGACAGCACAGGCAACCTCAGTAGAAGTCTCAGCTTTGACATAAATTCCACCTAGTTGTTATAATTCTTGTATGAAATTTATGCTGGATGTTTTGTGTTAAAAATTTGCATCTTCATGAATTCACAGGTTACTTCTTTGTTAATAAAACAAAATTTGAATTATGAACATGATCAATATATACAGCATGATGTTTCAGGTAGGACATCTATGTGAAAGGAATTTCAGATTTGTGTAACTGAAATATTCCCTGGCTAAAGTTTTAGATAACTGATCTTCTCCCATCCCCTATTTCCCCAGTAATACAAAGGTTGTGCTGCCACAAACAATGCATGTGAACATCGACTGAGCCAGAGTTTAACTTATTTCACCAAAGCATTCAGGTAGAACAGCAGTTCCTTTTTCCTCTTCAAATCTGTTTCCCAAGTTACTCCCTTAGATGACATGTCAAGCCCAGAGATCTAACACCAGACAGTAGCAAAAGTGTCAAGAAATGAACACAGCTCTCTAGTTTACTACACTTCCAAATTCTATAGGACTATCTCAATGAGACATCATGCTGGAATCACAATACTACAAAATTAGTTTGCTTTTAATATTTTAAAATACAACAAGGCTCCTACTGATGTGGGGATCATGTGTAAGGGTTTGAAGGATAAGCCCCCCCAAATAAAATTTTTCATTTAATAAATCTTGCAAGGGCAGAAGAAAAACGATGCTGAAATTGCTAATAGTCAAGCCCTACCTATAAAGCAGAATCTTCTCTATAAACATTTTCTATATATGCAATGATAAGTCCCTTTTATTAGAGCATTAGCTCATCCTTGCCTACTGAATACTATCAGAGTAGACGCTATGGAGGATTTCGTAACTGCAGATCCAGGTGAACTGTTGTATCAGTGTTATGGAACATGGTGGTACCCTAGTGGCAGTCTGTTGTGATAAAGTAAGTTGATTTGAATGCAGGTCTTGAGCTTGGCCTCTGAACCCCCAGGCAAGAAGGGCTTGGAAGTGCTGCAGTCAGTATTGCTTATCAGAAGGCAACTTGTATCGAAAGATCCAGACCAGAAGCTACACTGATGGGTCCTGGAGAGAGAGAGAGAAAGAGGTCCAGTCCCCTTTGGCTGGAAGGATGAGTCAAGGCAACACAAGGTTTTATTGGGAATGAGTGAAGGGGAAGGGCTGACAGGAAGAGATTTTTTTTTTTTTTGCCAAGATGAAGGAAGAAAAAACCAACAACAACTCCCTATCTCACTCCCCAGATCTCACACTTCGATATATGCAAATCATAATAAATTCCTGGCTGATCCAAGGAAGCCTTTAGGGGTAGGTTTCAGAGAATTCTTACTTATTGTTTTTATTAGAATTTACCACATTGATACTCACTGTAACACTCTCTTTGCTTTTATCAGCTGAACCTTCCTTTTCCTTAGGGGTGCTGGCTGTTTCCGTGGGTGTGGGCTGCACACTTGAACTGGGCTGGGATGATTTATTTAATGTTTCTGTGCTAATTTCAGTATCTGTTTCTTGCTGTGTTGCAGTAGCTAGAAGAAAGGAAAAAAAGAGAATGTAGGCACTACTTGTGTACCAGCCCAGAGTCAACTCTTCACAGGCACATCTTCCCCCCATGCAAACAAAGAACACCGAGTCACTCTGCATTGCACCCACCTGGGCCCCTCAGCTGAGAAACCAGCAACCCAGCCCAAGATTACCTGACTGTGTGCAGGACTTCATGTGCTCAGGCCAGTGAGCTTGTTGGCAGGGATAGTCACAGTAGCTGGTATTCCAACAGCAATAAAAAATGGCCTCTTTCTTGCAGTTAGCACACCACTGCTTCTTTTTAGTTTCATCCACTGCTTGCTGCTTTTCCAGTTCCAGCTGCTTCTTCACCTCAGCAATCAAACGGTCTCGTTCTTGTTCTAGACTCTGGCGCATTTCAGCCATTGTCAGTTCTACTCAAAATGCAAAGGAAGGTGAGGTTTGCATTTTCTGCCCCCCAACAGGTGCAGAACAACAGTTTTCATGAGTTTGAAGACTACATGAAATTAAAACTAAAAAAAAAATAATCAAAATATTCCCCGAGTTTGGCCATCTCTGCTTAAAGGACACTTGATCACTCAGTTGCAACCTTCTTCCCACAGTCAGTGCATTAAATAAGGATAATTAAGAGGAATCACATTTTAATCGTGTTTTCATTTCCTGTCCATATGGTTGAGTGAACATAGAGGTGAAAATTCCCTCCTAGGAAGAATATTCTTTTATCTGCTTAAGGTGGTATTTTGAAGGTTGAATCAAGGTTGACTATTCACTTAAAATAAATACGTGCACCAACTGCTGATCTAGAGGCGCCAAAGATACCAGGGGAAGCAGGTTCCCCCAGTGGTTGTATTAACAGGACCTGGTCCATATGAGAATTACAATGAAGTAATCAGCATAAAATATCTCATGAAGAGGGATTATCCAATGATGCATAAAGAGCTATTCTTTCCTATCAAAAGCTCTCTTTAGCCCAGATTTGTCTCAGAGGGTGAACACCTGTTGTTTACTAGACACAGATAGAAGTAACTTGGAGTACATAATCAAAAGTGCCCACTAATACCAGCACAGGACATTATATAAGGTTTTGTGTCCTTGGACAATCTGTAGTATAAACATTAAGTGCACTGGCAGATTTTTTTGGACTGCATTTTCATACCTAGGTTATGCTTCATTTCTGAGAGTTCCTGTTGGTGTAACCATTGAAGTTTTTCTATCTCAATCCTCAAACGCCGAATCTAAATATTAAACATTTAATAGTTATAATAATAACCAGGGTGCAGTGCATAATGCATTATTATACAGAAAAACATGCTCAGAGCAAAGACCCTGATCATCACTTACATCAAGGCTCCTTTATATTAACATGAGGGCAAGACCACAGTAAACCCCAAACCAAAATCTGAACCAGTCTAAATATTTCTTTCCTGCCCTAAGTAGTACAAGATTGTTTGAAAACAAAAAGCACTTCTATTAAACTTGCTCTTGCTTCCTAGAAAATGAATAAAGTCTCAAATTTCTCTGACTGGAATGAAAAACTTACTCCTCAGTTTTGCTTGCATTTATTAGCATGACATTTCATTTATTTTACGTTTTTTTTCTCAGCTAGATGAGATTTAGGAAAGCAAGTTTTTAATTTGCTGTGGATTAGGAATTATAAGTGTCATTGCTCAAAATTATCACTTCCTTGTTTTCCTTAAAACAGGCAAACAAGCCATCACACTTCTAACTTTGAGTTTTATTTTATTCACATTCCTACTTAGCTTATATTGCTTAATCTGCCTTTTCCAAGTTTAAAGAAAACAGTTTAAAGAGACTAAGTACTACCTTTAGAGATAATTAAAAGTAATGTATAGCATTTTATTAAAAAATACAAAGCCTACCTCATTTATGATTTTAAACAAGGTTTAAATCCTCAACAGAAGCTTTAAGGATCTGGGCTTGATGCCTTACTGTTCTTGATGCTTATCTTATAGAGGCCATCTGATTTTTTTTCAGTCTCTCTCTACCACTCTAATCATTACTTCTAGAACAGGATAGAAATTAGAATCTCTAGACAGTATTTATAATAGTATTTATAATACTTTGTAGGTATAGTTACATGGTACTTTTATATATATTTAAAAATGCTACTTTGCAACTCTTGCACTAACCTCAGCTATTGTACTTCCGGTAGTATTTTTTGAAAGATCATTATATATTTCAGTCATTGTTCCTTTGATGGCATCCATCATCTAAAAGACAAAATGGGAAAATAAATATTTTATACATATTTTTAATAGATCCCCACTTTCCCTTCCTTCTAGCCACTCTAACGTGTACTCATACTGCTACCAACAATGCCCCATTTCTCTATGTATTTATCTGGGCCTATGTTTAAAGGACTATTTAGAAAGTAGAACACAACACTTTTGATCAGGACTCTGATTTTAAAGCGTCCTGACCTGCTG